GGGGGGCGGGGCCAGGTGAGTCCCCAGCGCACCTGGTGACGTCATCCCATCACCTGGCAGCTCCCGTGATGCACCTGGGGGCTCCGGCCACGCCCTGAGCTCACCTGGAGGCGCCGCCATGTCCTCTGAGCCTTCCCATGATGCACCTGGAGGCGCCGCCCTCACCTTGGGCGCACCTGGTGACGTCATCACATCTCTGGACCCTTCCCGTGACGCACCTGGAGGTGCCAGCACGGCCCCAGACGCACCTGGTGACGTCACCGCCTCCTCTGACCCCTCCCCCGACGCACCCGGAGGTGCCGCCGCTACCTTGAACGCACCTGGTGACGTCATCGCCTCCTCCGACGCGCCTGGTGACGTCACCGCCTCCCCCAGCACACCTGGCCCCTCCCCCCACCCCACCCCGCCCTTCCCCTGCCCCACCTGCCCCAAATCCTTCCCCTCCCCCGCCAAGCTGGCCATCCACCAGCGCTCGCACACAGGTGAGCGCCCCCTCACCTGCCCCGAGTGCCCCAAGAGCTTCGCCGACCCCTCCGTGTTCCGCAAACACCTGAGGGGCCACGCGGGGCTGCGGCCGCACAGGTGCGGGACCTGCCCCAAGAGCTACGCCGAGAGGAAGGACCTGAGGAACCACCTGAGGGTGCACACAGGTGAGCACAGGTGTGCATGGACAGGTGAGCACAGGTGTGCATGGACAGGTGAGCGTGGGTCACAGGTGAGCACAGGTGTGCCTGGACAGGTGAGCACGGGTGTACAGGTGAGCACAGGTGTGCCTGGACAGGTGAGGGGTCACAGGTGAGCACGGGTGTGCCTGGACAAGTGAGCACAGCTGTACAGGTGAGCACAGGTGTACAGGTGAGGAATGTTACCTGGACAGGTAAGTTGTCACAGGTGAGCACAGGTGTATCTGGACAGGTGAGGAGTCACAGGTGAGCACAGGTGTATCTGGACAAGTGAGCACAGGTGTGCAGGTGAGCACAGGTGTGCAGGTGAGCACAGGTGTAGCTGGACAGGTGAGGGGCCACAGGTGAGCATAGATGTATCTGGACAGGTGAGGGGGCACACCTGGACAGGTGAGGGGTCACAGGTGAGTGGCCATACCTGTGCACACAGGTGATTTTTACCTGTCCCCCAGGTGAGCGGCCGTACCTGTGTGCCGAGTGTGGGAAGAGTTTCGGGCGCTCGTCGTCGCTCGCGTGTCACCAGCGCATCCACGCCGAGGCCAAGCCCTTCACCTGCCAGGTGTGCGGCAAGGCCTTCACCCAGCTCTCGTCCTTCCAGAGCCACCAGCGCGTGCACACAGGTGAGGGCACAGCTGGGACAGGTGAGGGCACAGCTGGGACAGGTGAGGACACACCTGGGACAGGTGAGGGCACACCTGGGACAGGTGAGGGCACACCTGGGACAGGTGAGAGGGGCATCTGGGACAGGTAAGGACACATGGGACAGGCGAGAGTACCTGGGACAGGTGAAGTCACACGGGACAGGTGAGGGCACACCTGGTACTGGTGAGAGGTGTTACCTGTGCTCAGGTGAGAGGTGTTACCTGTGCTCAGGTGAGCAGTTTCACCTGTCCCCAGGTGAGTTGTACCTGTGTCAGGTGAGCTGTACCTGTGTCAGGTGAGCTGTACCTGTGCTCAGGTGAGCTCTTTTACCTGCCCCCAGGTGAGCGGCCGTACCTGTGCGCTCAGTGTGGGAGGACGTTCGCCGACCCCTCGAGTTTCCGGCGCCACCAGCGCGCTCACCAGGTGAGGGGGGCGGGGCTTGGGGTGGGGGATGGGATTTTTTTGGGGGTTTATGAAGGGAAGGAATTTTCGGGTCCAAGACAGAATTTTTGGGGTGAAAATCGGCATTTCCGGGGCATTCTGGGGTGACGGTCGCCATTTTTGGTCCGTTTTGGGGTAAAAATCACCATTTTCGGTCGATTTGGGGTAAAAATCGCTACTTCCGGACCATTTTGGCGTGACGGTCGCCATTTTGCTGTGACAGTCGCCATATTTGGGGTGACAATTGCCATTTTTGGGTCATTTTGGGGTGACAGTCGCCATTTTGAGGTGATAGTCGCCATTTTGGGGTGACGGTCGCCATATTTGGGGTGACAGTCGCCATATTTAAGGTGATGGTCGCCATATTTGAGGTGACAGTCGCCATATTCGGGGTGTCGGTTGTCATATTCAGGCTGACAGTCGCCATTTTGGGGTGACAGTCACTATATTTGGGTTGACGGTTGCCATATTCAGGCTGACGGTCGCCATATTTGAGGTGACAGTCGCCATATTCAGGCTGACGGTCGCCATATTCAGGCTGACGGTCGCCATTTTGAGGTGACAGTCGCCATATTTGAGGTGACAGTCGCCATATTTGAGGCGACGGTCGCCATATTTGAGGTGACGGTCGCCATTTTGAGGTGACGGTCGCCATGTTTCCGTTTCCCGCAGGGCCTGAAGCCGTACGGCTGCGGCGAGTGCGGCAAGGCCTTCCGGCAGCCGGCCGACCTGGCCGTGCACCGGCGCACGCACACGGGCGAGCGGCCCTGGCGCTGCGGCGACTGCGGCAAGGCCTTCGTGGCCTCCTGGGACCTGAAGCGGCACCGGCTGACGCACTCGGGCGAGCGGCCCTGGCGCTGCGGCGACTGCGGCAAAGGCTTCGGCGAGCGCGCGGCGCTGGGCAAGCACCGGCGGACGCACTCCGGGGAGCGGCCGTTCGCCTGCGGCCGCTGCGGGAAAGGATTCGGGGGCGTCTCCGGCCTCAGGAAGCACGAGAGGACTCACGGGAGGGAGGAGGGGGCGGGGCAGGGCGGGCCCGGGGGCAACATGGCCGCCG